TATTATACAAAGAGAGAGCTCCATACTTCTCGATCGGTCTCACGAGGTTCACGGACCACGCTAGGACTACGCGCTGCGAGGAGGTGTCGACAGTGTTGACCGCCCTGGATGGATGGATGGATGGATGGATGTTAATGGCCCCACCCTTTATAACGGGCGGTAGCTTGCGCCACCTAGCCTAAGTTTAAGACAAGCATGATTCCTCCCGCCCTTCTAAGCCTATTTTGTCCCCTTCCACCCGCTTTCCTCCTCGCCACGTGACAACGCAGCGCATGCGCACTTGCGTTAAAACCAATCAGTGCAGGAGGCGTCTACCATTAAATTGCAAACGAGTGACAAAGCGCCCAGTGCGCATACACTATTGGCTCTCTCTTTCCCCCCAACCTCTATCACAACGTCTCTCTCTCTCTCTCTCTCTCTCAATCTCTCCCCCCCCCCTGATTCGAGTTGGGCCCTCTCTTCAATCCGCGCAGACTGCCAGTTCGTCTGTTTCTTGCGCGCGGGTTGCCATGATGTCAGAACGCCGAACTCTTATTGGCTCATCGAGAAAAAAAAAGTTGTAGGTAGACTTTGAGGCATCTAGCATCGAGGTCTCCCCACTATCCTTTCAACCAAAGCCAATCAGAGCTCGGCGTCATCCTGACGTCAGCGTAACTCTCGCGCATGAAACGGACTGAACCAACTTGCTCGCCGCATAGGCTCGCTGTGTCACGCTGCCGGATGTCGCGATCCCGGCGGTTGGTCGAGAAAATGCCGGCGACGAAAGGCGGGCGGACGCGAGGGTCGCCGTCGTCGGGACGTCCCGTCCATCTCGCGTCGGTCTTTGTCGACTCTCTGCTTGCCTGCAGAACGATCTAAAGCGGGCCAGGCGTCGGTCACATCCGCCTCTTCGCAACATCGTGACGCTTCTACGACGGCAACGGGCGGAAATCGAGGGATTACTTTTGAGGTCCCTGCAAAAACACTCCAGTCAGAGTCAAACTCCATGCACCATCGATTACTTGAGACCGCGAAATCAATTCATATAACCGCCTGTTGCGTCGCCAAATCTTCCGCGCACGGCTTGGCACGGTGCGAAGCCAATCGGAAAAAAAAAAAAAAAAAGAAAGCACAGAGAGAGAGAGAGAGGGGGAGGGGGGGGGGGGGCACCGTTTACCGGGCCCGGACAACGTTTTCATCGGTCGCCGAGGCCAAGGACACACATACCGCGGAGCTTCGCGGCCCTCTACTTTGAGTCAGGAATCACCGCAGGTCGGAGCGCGCTCGAAGGCTAAATACAACATCAAACACATCTACAAAAAAAGAAGAAGGGAAAAAAGAGGCGCAAGGTTATAGAACATTTGCTGAGCTTGATCGGTTTCAGTATGGGGATAACACCTGCAAGGAAAGACGAGACGAACGCCGTAATATAGCACGGATGGATGGAGGTTAATGGCTATACCCTTCGTAATGGGCGGTAACTTGCGCCACCTAGCCTAAATATTCTTCTTTTTCGCGCTGCTTGATTTTATTGGTTCCAGAACCTCGCATGCAACTTCGACCGCAACTATACTTTCTGCCCCGTTTGTCGAGGCAAGCGTAGCTTACACCGTGCTGCGGCCCCGAACTGCTGCGAGAGCGTGTGGCTTTGTCGTCGTGGACCACTCACTGTACGGAAGCTACGAAAGCGACGAACAACGTGGTCGACGCCCGACCGAGCAACGGGTAGACCATGCGTTGCCGGCCAGTGCTTCGCGCCTGCAAGCACCTGCAGCGTGTCCATGAACGTAACTTTAACCACAGGCTCGCAATTCCACGTGCTTTCGCGCACGAATAAGAGAGTGCCTGAGCTTGAGCGCCGATTAAACCTGCGCACGGCCGCTCCTCCTCTCTTCGGAAACGCGAGAGAAAGCGTAGAACGGATATCATCGTATTGTTCCCACAGACACTCGCGAAAAGTAAAAGTATAAAAAACAATAAAAAAAAAAAAAGAAAGAGAAGACACAAAAAGTTGGCACAGTTTTGTGCTTTTTTTTTTTCCTTCAACTACTGCTTTTTCACGTGGGAATGGACGGATGACGCTTGATAGAGCTTCCATTCCGAGACGCACGAGAGAAATTTTATCCGCTTGCCGATACATATTAGTATCCAAAACGCACAAAAAGCAACGTTATCTCCTTTCCGTTAAAGATTAGGAATGAAACACACTATCCCACACTCTCCCCCTCGAGCAAGGCATGATGCCAATGCTACTTACAAACACTTTTTTTTTTCTTTCTTTTCTCAGAAATTTGTTATTGTAAAGGGCGCTATCCACACAGGACACAACACATGCCACGCACGACAAAAAATCACCGCATCTCCATGTGGTGAATCATGTTGATTGGGGCGAAGCTCTGGTGCTGCTTGTCTGCGTAGACGCTGAGCCGCAGCATGCCGAGCCTTTCGTTCGTTTTCATCCATGTCACGCTGCGGTCCAATGCTCAAATGCGTATATAACCACGTTCCATACCACACATTCTCTTTCTGACATGGATCAAAACGAACGAAAGGCTCGGCATGCTGCGGCTCGGCGTCTACGCAGACAAGCACCACCAGGGGTGCTATGTTGCGCTTTTTGCACTCCCAGGAGACTTGGAAAAAGGAAGTGACGTCAACGACTAGAGCAAACGCAAATTGGATGTTGAGAGAAGAAAACAAAAACAATATCCAATCTGCATTTGCTGCGTTATTGACGTCACTTCCTTCTCGTCTCCTGGGAGTGCAAAAAGCGCAACATAGCCCTCCAGAGCTTCGCCCCAATCAACATCATTCACCACGTGGAGATGCGGTTTTGTTTTGCCCTACACAAGCACGGGAGCACGTGCTCGTGAGCGCGTGAGCTCACGAGCAGGAGCACGTGCACCCGACGGCGGACGGACATACGGACATGGCTAGCCCCTAAGGAGCTTCGCCCTTAAAAAAAAGAGCGTTCACATTGTTGTTGTTGCTGTTTTAAAAGAAAAGTGAACGCTGGGCGCGCGCCTAGATTTTCAGTGAGGAGATATGAACCACACAAACGGCGCGGCTTTCCTCCTCGCTGTCCCTCGGTTGTCTGCGCTCCCTTATCTTGGTTTTCGGTAGGCTGAGGGGACTGACGACAACAACAGCGCGTAGGCCTCGACGACAGCCAGCAGAGCGTGTGAGCGACTGTCCGGACCTACGCGACGAGCACACTCCAACCGTCTCTCTGTCAGCAAGCGAGAAAAAAAAAAAAAAAGAGTTTTAAAGCGGACCGGAACGAGACGCAAACCTCCGCTTCCGGGACAGCAAATACCGAGCACGGCATCTTCCGAGTTCTGTTTAGACAACCCTTTTAGCAGTTTCTCAAACGCCGACCCTTAGCAATCAACAACTCCAAGAAAGAAAGAAAACAAAAAACCGCGAACCTTTGATTGATTTTTTTTTTCTCTCTCGGTGAACGTTTCACTAGTTCAAGGTTGCGACGAAACCCCCCGCCCCCCCCCCCCCCCCCCCCCCCAGAAAAAAAATACCGCGAGGGAATAACTCCATTAATTGCCTAAGCGCGTTCCAGTCCTGCACAAAGACCAGGAAAATAGAAATCCATTCCACGCTAAGGTGCACGTCTAATAATCCTGCCATTTCCGTCGGCTCTTTTTCTCTCGTTTTATTTCACTCGTTTTCGCGCACAGAATCAGCCATCGATCGAGCGAAGCGCGACATCATAAAGACCAGTCCGTCAAGAAAAAAATACGAAACCGTGCTATATGCCGAGTGCGTGTGTGTGCGTGTGCGTGTGCGTGTGTGCGTGTGCGTGTGCGTGTGTGTGTGTGTGTGTGCGTGTGCGTGTGCGTGCGTGTTTCCAAAAGATTTATTACAAAAGAAAAAAAAATGGTGATAGGTAGATTACACGAATGATGTTTGTGCAGGTGAGATAATAAACTAAAATTTACTTTTTAACTTTCTAACTTGTGAAACAAAACATATAGCAAAAATTATAAACTTGCTGAGCGTCGTCGAAATCCACTAAATCGGTCAATTTCAGGACCACTGGAAGTACGTGGAAAACGCGGGAGTGCACCAAAGCCACCGCTCGCCGTATACTGGCGAAAAACTAGCGATCTAAAAACGTGGATAATTAAATTATCCTACGCCCTTTTACACCGCTTATCATCGTTAATTAAAAAGAAAATCGACAATTTTTTTTTGTTAATTGCATATCGAGACTAAGCTTGGTTTTTCTCCGATGGCGTCTGTCGTATACCATCGGAAGCTGCGCATCGTCGAACGATGATAGTATGTACTTTGTAGTCGTCTGCCAGTGTAGTTATCATCGTTATCTCTTCCGTTTGTTCTGCACCCGAAGTAGATAATAAATCCTGTTCACACCATACCGTGTCTTGGCTGCCGCACGTCGTAAGAGCGTCGATGAAACGCGGGTCGCGGCTCAGCGACGACAAGCATCAGCACAATGAGCCAAACACACACGAAGCGAGAACATAACCACAGGTGTTTCTGTCACAGTGACAGGGAAACCGACGTCATCACCGCACCGTTGCGACCCGGTAAAAGACGCGATGAGATGCGCATCCGGCGAGACAAAAACAAGTCGCTCGCTAGTTATGGTGGAGAATAGCTCACACTCCCAAAGGCAACGCGTGGTCGCTCCACACGTAAACAAGGGCAAGTTAATCGCGCGAGGCGTACGCATTCAACAGCGGGGCAGATAGCATCAGGCCTTGACCGTTCGCACAACAACATTCTACACATCGTCCGCGACCAAAAATAACTCACAAGTTTTCGCTTCCAACTTATGCGCAAGAAATTAAACGCAGTTCGCATCGCGATGCCAAAAATAACCTTATTTAATTTTTTTTTTTTTTTTAAATCGCGGTGATTTTTGGAGGACGTTATCTCGATTTATAGCCAGGTAGCTAAAAACATTCAAGGTGTTCTTTGTGCGTGTGTGTGTGTTTTAGTCGCCAAAACTATGAAAAACTATGAAAACAGAAAGAACTTGCCTCAATGTTGTTTAAGCCCTGGGACTGACCAAGTCGGAGGTCATGGCGGCCACTAGAAAAGAGGCAAAATGGGTTATAAATTATCTAGTTTAACCGTTATGTTCTCAATATATTTTCAAAAACGTTCGCTTATTTGTGATGTAGAATACCCGAGACTGTGGTAAAAGCTGGAAGCTTGGTCGAAGAAAAAAAGACAGGGGAAAAGAACGTCTCAGAAAACGTCTCAAACTATATCATGATCAACTTCCACCAGTTCGTCTGCGCGATCACTGTTTTGTCATCGCTTATTTTTTTATTTTATTTTTTTTTCTGGTGTGGAAAACCTAGGTAATGCCGCCATTAGTGCAAAGACGGTGAGAGTGCAGGCGAGCTGGTGGTAGCTAATCATGTCGTATTACACCTGAGACTGCGGTGGAAGAAATCGGAAGAACTTTCAGTAGAAGGAACAGACACAGAGAACGTCTCAAACTCAGCTAACTGGTTTATTTCTCAAACAGCCTTTAAGTACCCACGGAACTTTTTCCCAACCACACTCTACACAAAAACTCCTTTGTTGCAGACATTTCGAACCGGATGGATAGAAAAGATACAAAACAACCCACACATGAGACGAGGACTTAACAATGGGACACTGCGGATCATCGCAGTGACCTTGACAGAGATATGTCCCGAATTATCGTAACAGTCGTGTCAAAGCGCACACACAAACAAAAAAAACACAGGTGTTAGTGCGTCAGGTTTGGCTCTGGACAAAGTGGATACACTGACTAATGAAATGGTACATTAGATTCTCATTCGTGACATTCATTTTCCTTGCGGTGGGAAAAAACACGGCTCACTTTCCTCCAAAAACACTCGCGGTGTGCAACGGGACGGACAAAACAGTTTCAAGTTCATCATTATCTCGGGGACTTTTAAATCTCGTTACGGAAACATTCAAAAGAAGCGCCCAATTTAGAAACGAAAACTAATTAGCAAAGGGGGGGTTTTTGTCCACCGTTACTTGTTCTGGGAACGCAACAGAACGTTTGCAAAGGGACACACATGAGCCTCGTGCCTTCATTAATTCCCGCAAAACGGCGCATTATACCCGAACAGGTCGCATAGTCACGCGCCAGTGCGTGGACAACATGTCCTCGGATGCGAGCAGAAACCAGCTACCTGGGAAACAGATAATAGGTAAATGACCTCCCGCGCTCTTTCCTTTTTTTTTTTTTTTTTTTTTTTTTCCTACGGAATAGAGCATGAAGGAAATAAATGACACAGAAGAGATTGCCGCGATAGCCCAGGCCGGTTAACGGCAGTTCTGCAAAAGCCAGTAAATGGATTCGGAACCACGTGTGCACGAGTCTCAAGGTCAGAGGACACTTGGAGCAAAAGAAAAACAAACAAATCCCAGAAACAAGGACAAAAAAAGAAACTTCGTTCCAACCTTTAGTGGAGGTCATTAGACTCAAAGCTAACCGGATACAGCAGAGAAACCGGCTTTTGTTCCCCGTTTTTGTTTTATGGAGCAATAACACTGGAGCTTTGGCCGACCGCAGCAGGCGACAGGGCGACGATACAAGCCGGTGTAACGATGGATTCGGCTGAAGCATCGTCAGTTCGGCTGGAGTTTTCACTTCGACTGGAAGCAGAAATTCGACCGGAGTTCCACGTCGGCTGAACGTTCCGATTCGGCTGGAAGTTTCAATTTGGTTGAATTTTCGGGTCGCGCCTACAAGTGTTTATACGCGCCTTTCGAAATAACCTGACCATAAGGCTAAGAGTCTGAGGCTGCGACTTCACGCGGAGCACGCACTGGTGCTTTCGGTAGTAAAAGTTTCTAGCGTGCGTCAAAACCAAATAATGTACGGTTAAAAAGGTTTCAACCGATTTTATATACCACAAAAAGTGAAAGCATGTGATGCGCACACCTCTAATGCCAGCCCGCTGCTTGACTATCCCATCATTTTGGCGGATTCTTCGGTTCGGCTGGAATCTTGAACATCCAGCTGAACCAAAACTCTTAGCTGAATTGCGACTTCGACTCGTAACCAACTTTTCTGGAATGCTGCTCTTCTCTGTGCTGGCCTCAATTCTGCTGAAGATCGGTGCAACTATATAACGATCCCACGTTTACTTTACGTTTTACATTCACCTGTTATTATTATTATTTTACTTATTTTCAAAAACTATTTTCAGCCCATCGAAAGAACTCAGCTAAAACTTGGTCACTGCTAAATGAATTGCGAGGTATCTCACCGCATGTGCACGACAGTCTTTTGGGTGATGCTTTTGGACCTGATTCACTTGTGACTGCCAATATCTTTAATAATTTCTTCGCAACTTTTTCAGGGAAAGTCGAACAGAACAGTAGTTTTTGTTCTCTTTCTTACTCCGATTCTGCCTCTGCTTTTATTCCTCAGATGACTGGAGGCGATTTAGAATCTACAATACTAAGCCTCAAACCTAATAAGTCTCCGGGAATCGATGGAATACGACTAAGTGACATACGAAGACATTTACGTTATCTTCAAAGCACACTTCTTCTATTCAATACAATTCTTGAATCTGGTTTCATACCTAATGAGTTAAAAATCGCCGTCGTCAAACCCCTGTTCAAGGGAAGGCACAGAAATAGGGTCGAGAACTATCGTCCGATATCCATTTTGCCATGCCTTGGCCAGATACTAGAGAAATTTATGTATAATGCAATGTCTTCATTCCTTGAAAAACACGAGCTTATGTCTCCAAATCGGAACGGGTTTATTGCTGGCCGAGGCACGCAACCACTTCTAAAATCACTATCTGACGAGCTAAATTTCAGCTTCGAACACAACTTGTTTACCTGTGCCTGCTTTTTAGACGTTTCTAAGGCTTTTGACACAGTTAACCATCTAATTTTACAGCACAAGCTTTCAGCTTTGGGTTTTCGGGGCCCTTTCTTATCACTGCTAAAAGATTTCTTACATGAGCGTTCACAACTGGTGGCTGTAAATGGTGCATATAGCAGCAACCTCTCATTAAAAGCCGGCGTTCCACAAGGCCCCATACTTTCGCCGCTCTTATTTAACATCTATGTTAATGACATGGCTAGCGCAGTTACCAACTGTATGATATACCAATACGCTGACGATACCCTTGTATTGACTCGTCATCTTTCATACCCAAAAGCAATGGAGATGCTTCAACATTCTTGTAATGAGCTCGTGGATTGGTTCAATCAAAATCTGATTACCATAAATGTATCTAAAACAAAGCTCGTATGCTTCCACAGTCCTTTGAAAGTTGTTTCGCTAAATATTCCACTTTTTTTACACAAATCTAATTGTTTCCCGTGTCATAGTGATAAAGTTCCATATTCTGACACAGAAATATCTTGGCATTCTCTTTGACTCTGATCTATCATGGAATTCGCATCTCACTAAAATCTGTGCTAAACTTAGGAGTGTCTCCTGTTTGCTCTATGACATCAAAACATTCATGCCCTTCGGTTTGCGCAAGCGCATAGCTTATTCATTAGCCTACACACATTTGCCCTACGGCATAACTGTATTTGGCCAATGCTCGAGACTATGGCACAAAAAAGTGAACGGTATTTTAAAAGGAATTTTGAGAAATATGTGCTATGGTATGAGTTTTTCTAATTTAGATTTATTTCAAACTTTATCAATGCCGAACTTTCGATCTTTGTTCCTAGAGACGGTAGTGCTCAATTACAACTGGAAGGACGACTTTAAATCTCCTCACCCCGCCACGCGGCAGTTGCGGAAAGTTCCACTCTACGCCGTTCCAACATGTTATACACGGTATGGGAAAAACATGCGTTTATTTTATGTCCCTCACATATTCAACGAGGTACCTCCAAGTCTCTCGAACCTTACTTCCAAAAAAAAAAAAAAAACTTAAAAAAGAACTACGCAATATATTTATCAACGAAGAAACTGAGTGATCATTTTTTTTTTCGTACATTTTTTACGTTTCGCGCAGAAACTATCTTGTCTATCAATTATTGTTCTCATTTATTTTGTATGTGAGTGCCGCACTCTAACGTCTTGCTATACGAGTAACTACTTTAGCTTCTGTGCAGTACAAGTTTCGTGTTCATTTTCTAATACTTTGCTTGACATGAACTTGATCCTTTGAGATTTGACTTTTGATGAAGTGTGACTCTGAACTGGTGCTTTCGTATTGCCTTGTGTTTTTGTCTTTTTTTCTATTACTTTCTGAAACTCTCCTGTGAATCACGATAACCTTTAGGTCCAGTCCCACAAGCCCTTGTTGGCTTAGACGAACCTGCCTTCTGCTCTTTTGAACTAACACAGCGTAAATAAATTTACTACTACTACTATTATTATTATTATTATTATTAGTATTCGTGACGATGTGAGCAGGAATAATCAATTAGGCCTGGCGAGGCAAACGATTCAATAATCCTTTAATGAAATCGCTTCCCCCGTCTAAACCCGTACAGGCGCAGTCAGCGCGTAGCGAGAGCAGTCAACCGATAAAAATCGACCGGAAAGCAACCGCAGCGCCGCTTGACCCTTAGTGGAGGCCACGGGAAGTGTCGCAAACAAAAAAGAAGAGGGACGGCCCAACCCGGAAATAGAAGGCAGAGAGGAACGACCGGGAGTCCCTTCATTTTTTTTTTTTTTCTACGTTTTCAAGGTCACTTGTTTCTCTCTCTCTCTCTCTCTCTATCTCCGCTCTGCCTCAGCTTACATGGCACTACCTTTTGTTTTCTTTTGACGTACAACTACGCCTTTTTCGGCGTTTAGAAGGGTGTGCAAAGTTGGAAGGTTGATGTCGCGAAAACTTGGTCACGGAAGTGACGCCACACAGATCGCCGCCTGCTGCCGAGAGCCGCACAGTGCGCACGCGCGCCCTTCCTTACCCTGCTGACTTGCTCGTTTGCTCGCTTCAACGCGACGCGCTCGCGTCTCGCTGCGGCGGCGCTAGACGCCGCTCCGGCAGCCGCAATTCCACAATGTTCGCTCTTCGCTCTGGACGGCGGCCGAGCTCGCGTGCTCCGCGGCACGGGCAGTTCACGCGACTCTCGCGCGCCAC